TGCAATTGTGGTCCAGTGGTATCTGTTGATCACTTAGCTTATTGATTCAGTTTCTGTTGAGTTGGATTCTAGACGGTTACTACCTTGGAAAGGATGTTTGGTGCCTTATGTGATGGGGGCCAGAGCCTGCTGGGAACAAACAAAGCAGATTCATGCCAGCATCAATGCACAGCTTTGGTGGGGATGGGAGTGGCACACAGCCCCCATCCATGTGTGTCGTCTTCCTCTTCACGCTCTTGACAATAACTTGAAAATGGTAAGATCACCTTCTCTGAACTTTCCTACAGCATGGCAGTATTCTTATGTCAACAGAGTGGATAGCTCATAATGTGAGTTATTAGAACTGTGACAGCCTGCATTGCCTCACTTTCCCATGTTTCTGGAATTGGTGGTGAAATAACAGGGGTAAGGAATCACTGGGTAAGTTTTACCCTGTGGGTAATGCCTTAGTGTTATTTAAAAGATTTGTCATTTATATTTAAAATAAATGTTCATGAACATTTGAAAGGAACAAAATGATCAGGGACGGCTCTTTGCCATGGGTCTCATTTTCACTCTTTTCTGTAAGAAAAAATAATGATATCTTATTATATATTTTTTCATTTTTATTGTACGAGTTTGTAAGTAATCCCAATTTTAATAAAGTTTTATAGACTATATAGTGGTCTCTCTTAATGAGCATGTACTTTTCTTGTTTGAATCTCTTGTTTTCAGATACTCAGCAATTAGCATCTCAGTTTCACCTTTCTAATAAGACGGTTTTGCCTGCCATCTATTTTCCTTTTTTTCTTAACCACTGCTCCCCATCCTGGGTCTGTCTTGGTCTTCTTCCATCCTTTGGCTGGATGATTTCCCAGGATGCTGGAACTCTAAGGGGTATTCCTGCAGGAGTAGCAGGTTGTCTCACAGTGCTCTCATAGGAGAACAATGTATAGGTTATCCCTGGTCCAGGGGGCTACCTTGATTGCACTTTAGTTTTTTTTAATGGCATAAAGCATGTCTTTGTTTCTCCATGGGGGTGAGGGAAAGCCCCGTGCATCAGCTGTGGGGTGTAGGGTAGGAGAGGGAGCAGGGCTGTAGTGGGCATTAGGGCCACAGACTAAAAACTTCATTGATGTCTTGGCCCAGCTTCTGCATAGGGGTCTGGTACTTTCCATCTTTTATGTTTGGGCTGTTTTCTTTGCTCTGGGAATCCCTTATAGCATTGGCCTTAATTCTGTACCGTCTCCTCTTTTCTCAGTTATTTAGACTACATGGAAATCCATTGCCCGTTTTTGAAAGACAGAAATAGGGAGAAACAGGATGTAGACCATATGTCCACTTATGTAGATTAATGCACACTAATGACATCTTTTCTCCTCTCCCTTCTAAAACTGTACTAGGTAAATAAGAGACATAGGTGATCATTAATGGTTGAATTAATAAAAACTTAAAGCATAATTGCTAGGTGTATGACATCATAGGGTTTTAGTGAGGATAAAAAAAGACAAGTTTTTATTGTGTAACAACTTTTAAAAGGTGAATATCGCTGGGAGGACTAGTGAGTGTGGATCAGTTTAATCAGATTGCTGCCGTCCCACCTCTCAGAAACCAGCACTAAAGGATTTAGATTTGTCCTTTTTTTTTGTGCCAGCTTTATTGAAGTATAATTTATATATAATAAAATTCACCAGTTTTAAATTTTGCTGAGTTTCGACAAATGGAGATGGTCAATGGTTGTGTAACTACCACCACAATCATGACGTAAAGCATTTCCATCACCCCTAAAAGTTCCCTCATGCTCCCTCCATGGACTAGAAATTTTAATGGGGGGGCGAGGAAGGAGATTTCGGAGTCAGAGTGGAGGAAGACTAATAAGCTCCAGGTGGCTCAGTTTCTCCTGGGAAGCAGATCACGGTCCTGCATCCCCCATGCCTTCTCCCCACCCCGGATGCTTTGAGAGATCTTGAAATTCCAGATGACTTGGGTGCGTATTTCATACTTTGTTAATTTGGAGTGACCCACTCATCCCAGTTTGCCTGGGACTTTCCTAATTTTAGCATCAGATTCCCGTGTCCAGAGAACTCACCTCAGGTCCCAGACAAACCAGGATGTTTGGTTACCCTAGCTGTGATGTTCAGCTGTTCTTTCTAAGCCTGAGGTTGCCATTTCATTGTAGGGTCACTTCGCTCGTGTGAGCACACAGTAGGCACTCAATAGACAAGTGAATGGGTGAACACACAGATAAACCCCCAGGTGTAGACGGCTGCAGATTCCTGGGCTGAAGAACAGAAGAGCTGGGTTCTGGTCTGAGCTCTGCCAGGTTTGCAGTGATGTGATCCTGGGAAAGTGGTTTCTCACTCTAGGTCTGTTTCCTCTACTGTAAAATAGGGGATCTGTTGTCATTTCTCCCTCTGATACTGTGATCCTGCTCCACCTAGATATAGGATTATATTCCTATGTCACTTCCACTCAGCTTTTTCTCTCTCTCTTTTCCTTGCCTTTCCCCCACTTTCAAATATATATAGTAGATCAATAAATTACGTAAGGGCAGGTTGATAATGGAACTGCTGATGGGCCAGGCTTATGCACAGTGCCGCTGTGAGAGCAATAGAGTTTGGACCTTGAACCAAGCAGCTGTGGCTGGGAGTTGGAGAATCAAGTCTATCTTTAGCTAAGTGTCTGTAATTACCTAATTTTCTCTTTGTGCATGCCTGGGAGAGAGGATGGTGGGCAGAGGGAGCCTGCTGTTTAGGAATTTTTCTGGGTGGATGAGGGGGTACCCTAGAAAATAGGATTTTATAAGCTTCTTATCTATCGGAGGCAGCTATTTCCAGCTGGGCTGGTGCCCAGGAAAACATCCCCGAGTCTTATTCAGTATCCTAGCACAGAAGAAGGATTAAAATTAGAAATGCCAGGACTTGGGCTGAAACTTGTGGCCAACTTAGGATCAGGAAGCTGCATTCTGTTCCTGGTTCTGCCATATACTGCCTGTGGACCTGAGCCTCAGTGTTTGACTCTAATTTCCCTCTTTAATGGAGTGAGTGCACTGCCCACCTCCAGTGTGATGTGCTGCAGTGAGATGACACAGATGAGAGCTCAGTGAAACTGGCCTCTCTACAAGTGCCAGGGGTTATTACTAACTTTAGTCTTTGGGTCTGTGTGATGGGGTCCAATTCGTGGGTGGAGGGAAGTAGAGAGGAATTTGGGAATTTTGTCTGCTTAGTTCCCCGAGTAATGTTATTCACACCCCCACTACTCCCAATAAGATAGAAAGGATAGGTTTGAGAGAGGTACCATTTCTTTGCTAGGAGGACACTCCAACCTACCTTTCTCCTTGACAAAACTCCTGACTTTCTGGAAAAACTTTTTCTTGGCTAGAAATTCCACTTCTTCTGCTCTCATTTCCAAATTTGGGGGGCAATGGAGGAAGAACTCTACTTGAGCCCCTCAGCTAAGGCCAGCTAGATAACTTTTCTTACCTAGAGGGGGCTTTCTCTTGTGGCTGTCTCCCTCTGGGGCTTTGGGCCTGCGAAGGGTTAAGCGAGCCACACCCTCAGCAGGAACAGCCTCGGACTTTGTGCTGAGCAGTCTCTGGCCTTTCCTGGCTCAACTGGCACGGGGAGCCCAGGCTGGAGGAGGCAGCACAGAGAAAGTTCAGAAGAGTGGAGACTGGCAAGAGGAGGGCAGCCTCTTTCCTGGCTTCCCCAACACCATGGACAGCTCCCATTAACAAAGGCACCTCTTACCCTTGGGGCCTGGGACTCCTATGCCCCCTTCCTGTCAAATTGGGATTTCATCCACCATTCTCCAAGGGACACTGAAGTTACACCCTAGTCCCAGTGTTGGGTAAGTCCTGCCTTGACCTGTCACTGCTCCTCTTTTAACAACTTGGGCTGCCACAACTGGGGGCTGCTTCCTTTCCCCTTCCCCATCTCCAACCAATCACATTCCCAGTCCCCTCAAATCCAAATCCAAAGAAGATGCCTCTCCCAGCCCTGCTTCTGCTTCTGCTTCTCACCTTTCCCTGCCAAGTTACTTTAAAACTTCTTCTTTTTTAAATCTGGAAAATGTGGGATAATAATAGTGCCTCCTTCATGGGGATATTGTAAGCATCGAATGAATTAGTATATGTAGTGTTTAGAGCCCTGCCTGGCCCATGGTAAATGCTACGTGATTGCTAGAGGCTGCTGTTATCAGTATTCTCGTTGCTCCCTCAGTTGTGTCTTTCTAGGAAGTGAGAAGTGCTCTCTTTCCCTGGAGCTTGGGGAAAGCAGAGTGAGGGGAGGAGGCAGCCCGTGCTCCCTTCTTGCCCCACCTTCCATTCCTGCTTCTCCCCACCCCCACCCCCGCCGCCCAGGTTGAGTGATGCAGGAGAGTAGGAGGATGTGGCTCTTTTGTTCCTGTTAGGGAGTGGCACTGACCATTGCACTAATAATCCTGCCCTGTACCAGGCCACCCTGCCTACTCAGGCCCACAGGAAAGACTGAGGAGGGCTGGGCTTTCTCCTTAGGTTGTACCTGCCATGTGCTTGCTGCATGGGGGCCGAGCCCCACAATGCTCTCTGTTCCTCTTTCAGTTCCTCCTTTCCATTCCCACCAGCGACTAAAAAGCTGGGTGTGTCCCTCGGGGGCAAAGTCCATGACAGAAGGTTGCAGGATTGGATGTAAAAGCTGGAGATAGAAAAAATAGGGACAGATGTGTAGACACATCCAGAGGTCCTGGCAACTATTTGATGTTGGGGAACCAAACTCACTTTCATTTCCTTTGGGGTATTCCAGTCTTTTATGGAGGAATGCCTGCCTCTTCTCTAACTCATCACCTTGTCCAGTCCCCATTTAAAAAATGACTCCCAATGCAGTCTATACAGAAACTGAAATATAATAATGTACACTTGAAATTTACACACAACGTTAAAAGCCAATATGACCTCAATAAAATAAAAAAATTTAATGGGTATGGGTGGGCTGGGTGACTGAAATAGGGGCTGTCAGAGGTGGGGAGTTGAGGATAACTGGGGGCAAATAGTCCAGGAGTCAGGACCCTGGCCAGGGCCTCGGTGCAGGAGGGAGAGGGCTGTTGGCGCCCGGCTGCGGCAGAAAGCTTTGCTTGCCCTTTCCTCCTCAGCCCTCTCCTGCAAGCACAGCTGTGCCCCTCCAGTCGCTGCCTGCTGGGTGCCTTCTGCACCCTGGAGGTCAGAGGCAGGTGGTCATGTCCCGCCTCTGCCCTACCCCCACCAACCCTGACCCAGGGAGCAGAGGATCCCCTCACCTCCCGGGGAGTCTCTGCAGCCTCCCACAGTTAGCTTGGGCTAGTCCAAAGGCTCTCCTTCGTTGGGGGTACTCCTTAGGGCCAGGGCTTGAGGGGAGAGGAAGGCTGTCTGAGGCCCTTCTGTCTTTCTCCCTTCAAACAGTAACTGGCTCCTACAGCTGAGCAGACGTCAGCAAATTGCCCCTCTTACTCCCAGAATCAATAGCCCCTCTGGATATGACTCTCCTGGAAGGTTCCGTGGGGGTGGAGGACCTCGTGCTCCTGGAACCCCTGGAACAGGAGTCTCTGCTGAAGAACCTCCAGCTGCGCTATGAAAACAGGGAGATTTATGTGAGTGCACATGGGTGCCCCTGGCTGTGGATGTGTGGCCAGAGAGTTCACGTGCTCTCACTGCCCCGTTCCCCAGCCCGACCCCCAACCTCCACCCCGCTCATTCCCTTTACCTTCTTCCCCGGCTCCAGACCTACATTGGGAACGTGTTGGTCTCAGTGAATCCCTACCAACAGCTGCCTATCTATGGCCCGGACTTCATTGCCAAATACTGGGACTATACCTTCTATGAGCTGAAGCCCCATATGTGAGTAGAGGGACCAAGGGAAGGCGACAGGGCTCCAGCTTCCTGACGATGAGACATTCTAATTTTCCCTATCCTTTCTCCTAAAGGAGGTTCTCCAGCTGTCCCTTCCTCCCCTGGCCCTCTGGAGGCCCCTTCCTAGACCGGTCACTTGCTTGAGTCTGGTCTGAGTGGGAGGGTGGATGCATCTGGGGGCTGAGGATCGAGTGAAAGATGGTGTCTTGGACTGGTCCCATACTAGACATCAACCGATTCTTCCCCCCCCAAAGCTATGCGTTGGCAAATGTGGCGTACCAGTCACTGAAGGACCGGGACCGAGACCAGTGTATCCTCATCACGGGCGAGAGTGGAGCGGGGAAGACCGGTGAGGCACCTGGCTAGGGAGCCAGGAGTCACTGCTAGAACTCCCCCCTTATCTCTTTCCAGTCCAGGCCTAGTCCTGCCCCACCCCCCAAATTCCTTCCCAGTTTTTCTGACTCTGAGGGGTGCGAGGTGCTGGAATGAGGGACGCTAAGGAGAGTGGGGGGGGTCCACATGAGGGTTTCTCTTACAGAGGCTAGTAAGCTGGTGATGTCTTACGTGGCGGCCGTCTGTGGGAAGGGGGAGCAGGTGAATTCCGTGAAGGAGCAGCTACTTCAGTCAAACCCGGTGCTGGAGGGTGAGAATTCCAGTCTCTGCCCTCTCCACTCCCTGCCAGCTGCCCCAGAGTCACCCAGCCCTGGGCCTTCTTCCTCAGAGTTCCAACACCACTGCCCTTGTTCAGCCTGAAAAACCTGAGATAGGCACGATGGCAGAAGACCTTCCTCCTTTCCCTTCTCTAAGACCCGCTCCTCCCCTCAGCCTCCTCACTCCTCTCCCCTTGTCTCTGCAGCTTTTGGCAATGCCAAGACCATTCGCAACAACAACTCCTCTCGATTTGTGAGTGACCATCTCCCCGGCCTGGGAGGAGAGGGTGTGGGGGCATGAGAGGGAGGAACACGGCACAGACCCCTCCTGGACGGGGTGGTGAGAGGAGGAGGAAGCAAAGTCTCTCTCTCTCTGGTCTCTGAAGGGAAAATACATGGATATTGAGTTTGACTTCAAGGGATCCCCCCTCGGTGGCGTCATCACAAACTGTACGTGTCTCCTCGTTCCACTCCCTGCCTCTCTTTTCCGCCTGCCCCCCAGTGTCCCTTTCTGCTAATCTGCTACTGTAGGAAGGAGGAATCTTAGACTACCAGACCTCCCAAACACTAGCAACACCAGGGATGAGGACAGAATTGGAGGGAAGGTGTGCTGTCTCCCAGGCCCTCAGAACATTATTTTCTAATTCTCTGCCAGATCTGCTTGAGAAGTCCCGAGTGGTGAAGCAGCTTGAAGGAGAAAGGAACTTCCACATCTTCTATCAGCTACTGGCTGGAGCAGATGCACAGCTGCTGAGTATGTGCCTGCCCCAGACACATGGCAGAACGTCCCCAACCTCCATCCAATCCCCAGAACCCCCGTCCCCTCTGGGTCCCTGCAGCCCCCTTCCTTTGAGCCCCTCAGACTCCTCCTGCCTGCATTCCCCACCCTGAACGTCATCCACCCTTTCTTGGAAACAAATCCCCTGACCTCTGTGTTTTCTTCCTTTTCTTGGGTTTTATTGCTAGGAATAAGTCTTCTTGTGTCTTTACTGCTCTTTCTCCTCTGTCTTGCTGAGTTCCTCTTTCCCCAAGCTGGCTTCAAAAATGGAATACTCATTTCCATCTACCATCTTTCCTATCTTCGATTTAAGTGACTTTATTGATAGCTCAGCAGTAAATCAGGCAGGATAGGATGTTGCAAGTGTTCAAGAACTTTCCATGAGCTCTAACTGAAGTTGTTCTGGGTCTACATCTGCCTCAGCCAGAACCCTGTCCTTGATTTCCTCTTCTTACATAGTTCTATGAAGGTTCCATTTATTCATTCATCAAACATCTCTTGAACACCTACTATGATTGAACATTGTGCTGGCTTCTAGGGACACAGAGTTGAGTAAGACATGGACCCTGTCCTCACAGAACCTACTGTCTTCTAGGGATGGCAGATGTGTGAATAGATACATTGCAATACAGTGTGATCAGTGCCGATAGGCCCGTGTAGGTGGCTATAGAAGTAGAAGGCATGGAGCACCTTACCTTATCCTGGGGAAGAGACCATCCCAGCCTGGATGCTGGGCAGGCCCAAGGTCTCTCTGGGTGGACATCACAGCGGGGTATGGCAGGACTTCAGGCCGTGCCAGAGTTTGCCTCCTAATTCCCCCTCTGGCTCGGAGGATTGTGGGTGTCTGGCCCCCAAGGACCTGTCCCTTTGGTTTCTGGTTATTCTATGCTAGACTTGTGCCTATCTCCTTTTCTCCTTCTGGAGATCGCTATGGTTCAAGAGCCCCCGCAGGTCTCATCCTCCCTCCTGGCTTAATAGTCTTGATTCAGTTTGTCTGAATCATAGGCACTAGTGTCTTGTTCTGGCTGATTCTGCCACTCATTGGTTCAAGTTGAGTCCAGGCAGGGCCTCCCTGGTATCATCATCCCAAGGCCTTTCTGACTTCTCCATCCAGACATCCCTCTTTAGCAGACTCCTGTTTCAAAATTTGTGTCTCAGGGGAAGCTGCCATTAAACCCTAGTTTGAGGGACACTCCCTGATTCTCAGATCACTTGAATGACAGATATTGATATCCCTCAAGCTCCACGATTAACCCACTCCTTTCCATCTCAGGTGAACAGCTTTGACTATTCCTTTGATTTGTTTATTAAAAAGAAAAAAGTTCCTGCATGCCAGCCAGGCACATAGAGCATAAAGATGAAAAGCACAAGCCCAACACATAAATTGTTCATTTGTGGGAGAGACAGAAAAAACAAGCCTAGCCTGTGTGTTGTGGGTTGGGATAGAGATCCACCACGGGGAACACGAGAGCCATTTGGCTCGTCCTCACAACGTCAGAGAAGACCTTCCAGAAGAGGGGTTGGGGTTGGAGAACATAGTACCTGATGCTCTGTCAGTGCCTAGTGAACAAATAGTGAATGTGCTAACCCAGGCCAAGGGTGAGGTGTCGAGGCTGGAGACGGGTGGGATATATGTGCTCATCTGTCTGTCCTCTCCTTTGTCCTTCCAGAACTGGAGACTTGAGCAGGATGGAGGGTTTGCTTGTTGGTTTTTATTGTTTAGCACCCTGAGGGTGGGGAGTAGAGTAGAATGAGGCTTTTCTTTTATAAATATTGGGAAAAAACCCAACAATTATGAACACTCAAACCCTAAATACTACTTAAAAATTTAGTCTATCATTATAGGAATTAATGATCCCAAAACAAAGGAGGCAGGGAAGAACCTTCAAATAAATAAATGAGTCAACGTAGGGCAAGGGCTGTGAGGGTCAAGGCTGGAGGGCTCCAGAGAACCCGTGTACTAACCTCTTCCCCCACACTGGCCCTCCCAGAGGCCCTGAAGCTGGAGAAAGACACAATCAGCTATGCTTATCTGAGCCGAAAAGTGTCCAGTGTGGATGGCATGGATGACGCCTCTAACTTCAAAGCCGTACAGGTGGGTGCCCAGGTGGGCCCTTAGGTCATGCCCTGAGCTCACACTCTGGCTTTGATAAGGGAGGCATTGGACTGGCCCCTCAGGACAGCCTCTGATTTCTGCTCTTTCCCTCAGAGTGCAATGGCCGTGATTGGGTTCTCGGAGGACGAGATTCGACAGGTGCTAGAGGTGACAGCCCTGGTGCTGAAGCTGGGGAATGTGGAACTGGTAGACGAGTTCCAAGCCAATGGGATATCCGCAAGTGGCATCCGTAATGCGAGAGGTCTGTACCACCCTGCTGGAGCCCCCAACCAGCTCCCTGAATCTCCTACTGCCATTTCTGTTTTTCCTCCTCTCCAGCATAATTGAGTTCACTTGGATTCAGTCCCATTCAGCCCGCTCCTGAGTTCTTCCCCAAACATACTCATGTAGAACTCCGAGGGAGGCATATTGGAACGAGGTTTTGAAGTTTGGTAGATCTTGGTTCTGGGACCTCTCTGAATCTCAGTGGATTCTTTGCAAAATGGAAACAATTACACCTATTTTGGGAGATTCTCTTATTAAAGTAGATAATGCATGCAAAGTGTCCATATCTCTCTTCTCCCTTCTTCCTCCCTAGAGATTCCTCCAGGGTCAGGACTTCCCCAGCAAGACCCAGGGACGCCAGTCTCCTAGCAGTTCATGCACCAGCCCCCCCCCCTCCCTGGGAGAAAGCCCTCTCTCAGGCCATGTTGTATTTCCTCATCACTCCAGGTATTGAGGAGATTGGGGAAATGGTGGGCTTGAATTCAGAGGAACTGGAGAGAGCCTTGTGCTCAAGGACCATGGAGACAGCCAAAGAAAAAGTGGTCACTGCACTGAGTGTCATCCAGGTAGGGGTCCTACGGGGGTGGGGGGGGGGCTAATTTCAAGTCTGTTCTGTGGCTGCCACTCTAACCGGCTGGCCCTGCCCTGCAGGCTCAGTATGCTCGGGATGCTCTGGCTAAGAACATCTATAGCCGCCTTTTCAACTGGATAGTGAATCGAATCAACGAGAGTATCAAGGTGAGAGATTGCCCTCCTCCATCAGCACTCTCCTGCCTGCTCACCTTTCTTGCCCTGGTCACCAGCCCCATACCTTGGGTTCTGAGAGGAACAGAGTAAGAAGGATGAGGGGTAAGCTACAGTTCCTTCCGGTAGTGTGTTGTGGAAATGTCTTTGGTTTTTGAGTTCGACTATCTGGATCCCCTACTTACTAGCCGTATAGCTTTTCAATTTTGCAAAGGCTCTGAGCATCAGCTTCCTGATTTTGGACATGGGACCCTAATGCCTACCTGCTTCACAGGGTTTGGTCAGGGTCAGATAAGATTATGTACATGGTTACCACAGACCCAGCAATTCCACTTCTAGGTATATATCCAAGAGAATTGAAAACAGATGTCCACATAAAAACCTATACATGAATGTTCATAGAGGCATTATTCATAAGAGCCAAAAAGTGGAAACAACTCAAAAGTTCATCAACTGATGAATGGATAAACAAAGTGTGGTATATCCATGCAATGGAATATTATTTGGATATAAAAAGGAATGAAGTACTGATACGTGCTCAACATGGATGAATCTTGAAAACATGTTGAGTGAAAGAAGCCAAATACAAAAGGCCACATTTTGTATTATTCCATTTATAGGAATGTCCAGCATAGGCAAGTCCATAGGGATGGGAAATAGATTAGCGGTTACCAGGGGCTGGGAGGCTGGGGAATGGAAATGACTGCTAACGGGTAGATTTCTTTTTGGGAGGATGAAAATGCTCTGGAATTAGGTAGTGGTGATGGGTGTACACCCTTTGAATATACTAAAATACCACTGAATTGTATACCTTTAAAGGTAAATTTTATGTTATGTGTATTAGGTGAAAATAGAGCTATTATTAAACAATTATGTACATGAAAATGCCATCAATTTAGAAGCTATTACTGGAAGGCAGCAGGATAAAATGGGATTTTGAGTCTAGGTTTGGTAAATGCTTAGTCCTTTTGATATTTGATTTTTTCATCTGTAAAACGGGAATAATCACACCTTATAGAGTTATGATAAGGATTAATGAAATAAGAACATAAATTTTTTTGTAAAATGCTCTACAGATATAAGAGATGGTTATTTTCCCGAGAGAATTTTAATGTCTTTCTACTTTGTACCATGGGAACACCAACCTGGAATCTATTTGCATCTTCCTTTTCCTCCATTCCTCCCTCTTTGCTTGTCCTTCAGCATTTTGAGGAGGAGAGAGAATAAGTCACACCAATTCCTTACCAGCTCGGTCAAGCTCACCTGAGTTCTATTTGCCCCCTGTTCCATCACATCCAGCCCAGAAGGGCCTGGCCTGGTGTGCAGAGGGGGCCTGTCCTCAGATTTATCTATTTTTCCTCTTCAGGTGGGCACCGGGGAGAAGAAGAAGGTAATGGGGGTCCTGGATATCTACGGCTTTGAAATATTAGAGGTGAGAGAGCTTCACCCAACCTCATACCTTGCTTCCCTAGGGTTAGGGTGACAGCTCAAAGTGGGGATGGGAGAGAGGGGAGGTGGGGCTGAGATGGAGGAAGTCTCTTGGGCTGAGCTGGTCTCTTTCTCTAACCTGTGTCCCCTCTGCAGGATAATAGCTTTGAGCAATTTGTGATCAACTACTGCAATGAGAAGCTACAGCAGGTGTTCATAGAGATGACACTGAGAGAGGAGCAAGAGGAATATAAGAGAGAGGTAAACAATGCCTTCTCTCCACGTTCCCTCTGTGATGTGACTTCTAGGCACACGCCAGGTCTTTCTATCTCCTTGATCACCATTTCCTCTCAGTTGTCCCCAGATGGGAACACAGAGGACGAAAAGTTTCCCTTGCACAGCTGAACATTCCAGCATTACCAAGAAGCCCTAATTTTCTGCTCTGCATGCCCCAGGTCCCCATCCTCCCACTCCAGGCCAGGCAAGGAAGGGGCCAGATTGATGGAAGGGTGTGTGGCGGGGGGAGAGTCCTGAGAAGAGGGAAGTGACAGCTGTGCTTGGCCTGTGGCAGACTGCGAGCCACATTTAGAAGGGACATTTCTCCTGGGCTTGGCACCCTACACATCCCTTTCTGTGCCCTTCTCTAATGTCTCAGAATCCTTTGTTTCCCCCGGGCCCTAGCTGATGTCGCCATCCCCTCTTGTAGCACCCTGATCCAAGACTTCCTCACCAGAAGTGCCCCATGGCTCAAAATTTCTGCACTCCTTCCCCTGTTCCGCGAAAACTCCTGTTTTCTGCAGCTAGGTGTTAGAAAAGCTCTCTGACTGAGCTCATCCAGTCCCAAGTGTGAATGGCTGAGAGTCTCACTCGTCAAAACGCTCCCAGGGCTGCTCCCTGTGAGCTCTCGGGAATCTGTTGTGGCAGAATTTCAGACAATGTGGTCACAATGGGTGGAAAAGTTTTTTCAGTTGTTTTGTATGTTTGTATTTAAAAATTTTAAATTATCAGATAGATAGGTAATTCATTCCCATGCTTCAAAATTCAAAAAGCTTAAAGAAAAGTATCAAGAAAAGTCTCCCCCCAAGCCTGTCTCCAGCCTCCGAGTCCCGCCCCAGGTAGAGGCACCTGAAGTGGGCCCTCCTTCCAGAGGCCTGTTATGTGTAGACGAGTAAATCTGTAAACACATTTTTCCACAAACTTTATTCAAGTGGCAGTGACTACACTCAGTTCTACACCGTACTTTCATCAGTTAACAAGAGATCTTTCTGTGTCAAGTAGATAAAGATGCTTTTTCACATGGGATTGTAAGGATATCATAATTCATTTAACAATTGGGGAAGGTATTTCTGGGATGAGGTGAGAGGGCAACTTAGCTCCACTCTGCATTCCCTGAAGACCTGTGAGGGAGGAAGAAGAGAGGCATGTGTTCCCCAGCCACACCTGGGCCTGGCCGGAACCTGGGAGGCCTGGCCCTTGGCTGGGTTCAGGAGCTTTCCTGCTTGTAGGACTGATATGCAGCAAATCCCTAAAGTGGAGAACGACTGTCCTTGGGTCTCCTGCTTCTGTACCGTTCTTGCTTTTTTTTAAAAAAAATTATACAGTCCCAAAGTACCGTGTAGATCAGTAGTTCTTAAAGTGTGGTCCTGGGCCAGCAGCATCAGCATCCCCTGGGAATGTGTTAGAAAGGCAGGTTCCTGGGCCCAGTCCCAGACCTGCTGCCTCTGTTGCTCTGGGGGTGGGCCCAGCGCTCTGTGGTCTAACACGCCCTCCAGGTGACTGTGATGCACACTCAAGTTTGAGAATCGCTGATGTAGGTCTTTGAAGATGTGTCAAATTAGCTTTGTTGTTTGAGGCTAAACTCACTCGTGTGCTCTGGTTCCATAGTTCATTGCCAGAGCAGTGTGGCCATTTGTTCTTCCACCCACTCAAGGGTCCTGCCCCACTCCCACAGTAGGGTAACCCCTATCCCAATCTTCACCCAACATATTACATTTCCCTCTCCACCCTGGAGCACCTACAGGGCTTTCTGCATTGCGTCGCCTCTCTCACACATGTGGGTCCTCCCATATGTCTGTCCACCTACCCCACAAATTCTCCTCCAACCTTGGAGGGATGGGGATGTAAATAGAAACCACACCAGGGCCCCTCTGCACTGTAGAGCTTTCTGATAGTCCTTTGTGGGGTGGGTGAGAGGGGGCCTGGGTCTGGTGAGGTCTTTGGAGACTTGTCTTGGACCTGCTGCCTGTAATTTGTCTCCCCTTGCAGGGCATACCGTGGACGCAGGTGGACTACTTTGATAATGGCATCATCTGTAACCTCATTGAGCATGTGCGTTCTCCTTCTCTTTCCTGGGACCTCCCCTTGCAGACTGCCTGAACATCCTTCCCCTATCTCTCTCTCTCCTCCCTCCCCTTGCCTCGCGTGGTAAGGATTGTAAAGAGGGCAAAAGCTGAGGGGGCAGAGGGGCAGCAGTGAGGACATGGACATCTTGGAGGACCAGGTCTAGGTTGGGCTGATCTCGTTCTCTGGGTAGAATCAGCAAGGCATCCTGGCCATGCTGGATGAGGAGTGCCTGCGGCCTGGAGTAGTCAGTGACTCTACCTTCCTAGCGAAGCTGAACCAACTCTTCTCCAAGCATGGTTACTATGAGAGCAAAGTCACCCAGAACGCCCAGCACCAGTATGACCACACCATGGGCCTCAGCTGCTTCCGCATCTGCCACTATGCGGGCAAGGTGATATGGCTGGGCTGGAGGGTAACGGCTGGGCCTAGGATTGGCTGAATGAAATGGGGGAGTAATTGGGGGGAGATGAGAATCTAGAATACTTCACAATGAGACTAGGAGGGCCAAGTGCTGGGACAAGGTTGTGGGTCCAAACCCATAGCTGTTCCTCTGCAGGTGACATACAGCGTGAATGGCTTCATCGACAAGAATAATGACTTACTCTTCCGGGACCTGTCCCAGGCCATGTGGAATGCCCAGCACCCCCTCCTTCGGTCCTTATTCCCAGAGGGTGATCCCAAGCAGGCATCTCTCAAACGCCCCCCAACTGCTGGGGCCCAGTTCAAGAGTTCTGTGGCCATACTCATGAAGAACCTATATTCCAAGAACCCCAACTACATCAGGTGACATGCTGGGCACACAGGGGAACATGCTACATGTGTGATGGCATGTGCAGGGTCCATGCACTCTAGAACATCCACGTGGGAGACATGTCTGGAATAAGGGTATCAGAAGCTCTTTACTCATGGAAAACAGAGCCAGACGAAGAGCTGAGAGTCCTGTAGCGGGGAGGGCATCAGACTTTGGTAGGGACCATGCTATAGTGAGTGAAACTAGGATGGCCAGTGTGCCCATTTCCTCTGAAATTTCTCAACTTGGGAATGTGTGCAGAATAGGGGTGTAGAGACTAGGGTGGGTTACACCAGCAGAGGGGAAGCTCCTGAAGCCTCTGTCTTGGCCCACCTCCCACCAGGTGCATAAAGCCCAATGAGCACCAGCAGCGAGGTCAGTTCTCCTCGGAGCTGGTGGCAGTCCAGGTTCGGTACCTGGGGCTCCTGGAAAATGTGCGGGTGCGGCGGGCTGGCTACGCCTACCGCCAGCTATATGGGCCCTTCCTGGAGAGGTACCGATTGCTGAGCCGGAGCACTTGGCCTCGCTGGAACGGAGGAGAGCGGTGAGATTCAGTGGGGAGACTGGGGAGCAGGGAAGGGCAGTGCGGGGAACATCTGTGGGAAGGGCACAGGAGATGCCGTGTGCATCTGCTGAAGCTCGGGGGGATGGATACTTGGGGAGATAAATTTAACGGTCCCTTTTCAGAGGCTCTGAAGTCTGTTTGCACCCTGAATGCTTCTCCCAGGGTGAGAGGGTGAGGGAAAATGTGGAAGAGGATCTCCTCTGGGATGCCCCTCGGCACCTTTCGCGATCTGCTCCTGTAGGGAGGGGGTCGAGAAGGTCCTGGGGGAACTGAGCATGTCCTCAGAGGAGCTGGCCTTTGGGAAGACAAAGATCTTCATTAGAAGCCCCAAGACTGTGAGTTGGAGAGTGCACCTGCTTTTGGTGGGCATGGGAGGAGGAAGAGTCAGAGAGTCCCCTCCACCCCCCACCAAGAGAAAGTCTGGAGGGGAGGGGAGCATCCATAACCTGGAATGGAGAGTGGGTCAGGAAGTCTCCTCTCTGTGGGGACTTTACCCCCGGGAACTAATCCTTGGGCTCCCACCCTCCCTGAGCCCCGGGAGTTACATGTGCTTCACAGCCTGCTCTGGTGCCTCTGACTGAAGCAAGATTGAAGGCTCAGGGTGATATGCCACTTGTGTCTGAGTTTCCAAACCTGGCACAGTGCCTGCTACAGAGTTAGAACTTGGCAGATGCTTGTTAAATGAATGAATGAACTAAGAAGACAAGGGAATGATGGAAAAAAAACACTCGCTGGGCAACCTCTGGTGCTGGGGGTACAGGAAGAAAGAGCGCTGTTCTCCAGGCCAGCCTCCCTGTCCCACACTCCTGCCTCCCACAGCTTTTCTACCTGGAAGAGCAGAGGCGCCTTCGACTCCAGCAGCTGGCCACACTCATACAGAAAACATACCGAGGCTGGCGCTGCCGCACCTACTACCAGCTGATGCGCAAGAGTCAGATCCTCATTTCTGCTTGGTTTCGAGGCAACATGGTACCAGTTACCCCCAAAGTCCCATCCCCCTCACTCTAATAGGAGAATGGGAAGTGGGAGACATGGTTCAGGAGGTGGAGTTTTTCTAATAGGCCCATTGCTTTCTACAGCAAAAGAAACGCTATGGGAAGATAAAGGCATCGACATTGTTGATCCAGGCTTTTGTGAGAGGATGGAAGGTAATGGGGCAGGGGAGAGGGCTTTCCTCCCCACAAGTTGTTCCCTCTCCCACATGGTTCCTCCTGGGTTGTGCCACCTGTTGGGGACAAAGAGTAGCAGAGAGCAAGTCCCGCCTGCACCCAGGACACAGCTCTGGGAGATCCAGAGCTATGGCGCATCTGTGTCTGTGTCTGCTCCCAGTGTGGACACAAGTTGGGGAGATCTGTATAGATGCCTGGCTGTGTCTCTGACTTGGCAGCAAAGCTGTGCCTTCTGCTTTGAGTGTCCTCCTCATTGCCACCTTGTCTGACTTTACTCCCTCGCTCCAGCTACAGTCGCAGCTCTTTATCTTACTCTGTTCTTTGTGTGGTTGAAAAATAGTAGACGTCTTCTAGGTCTATCTTCTATCTTCTAGGTCTAACTGTAGCTTTACTTTGGCTCCTTTCTCGTATGTCCCTGCCAGGTCCGCAAGAATTATCGAAAATACTTCCGGTCAGGGGCCTCCCTCACCTTGGCAAATTTCATCTACAAGAACATAGTAAGTGGTGGGGGTCGAGGGTGGAAATGGGGGGTGGAGGAGGGAGGGATGAGTTCGGAAGAGGAAGATGTGGGATTTGAGAGGAGATGACTCAAAGCTTTTTCCCAAGAGCTTCCTTACTCTGTATGCACTTATTTAAGCCCCAGGAGAAGAGGGCATGGTGTGGGACAGCAGCCCGCAGGGAGCAGGCCTCAGTGACTCGGGCTAGGGGCAGAATCAGAGAGCGTTTTGGCTTGAGTGGGCACTGCAGGCAACCTTGTGGCAGGAAGGGGTCCCAGCACACCCACCAACTGGTCCAGGCCTGAGAAGACACCTGGGGCTGGATGGCTAACAACAGTTGAGGTGAGACTCAGTGGGGAGGAGGCTGAGCCTTGTTGAAGAGCAGAGTGAGGACACACATATGGTTAACTAACCCAACCTTTCAAGATCCATTTTAAGGTTAGGGTGAAGGTGGAGGTATCATATCTTCCTTCTGTCTCTTCTGAAACAATAGCAGGCGAGTCAGAAATTAAAACTTTGGAAAGACAAATCTTAATCCTAGAGGACTGGGTCAGGGTGGGCAGGAAGAAGCTGGGACCAGGCCTGGACATTCAAACTACGGGCAATTTCCAGTGAGAGGAAAACAGAGAGAGAGAAGGGTGATTTCCAGAGACATCCATCCCATGTGATGGTGCCTCTGAGAAGTGTCGGAGGGAAAGCAGACAGGGAGAGAGCAGCACTTCCTGTGAAACCTCAGGAAGGGCCAGAGAGCCGGAGGAAGAGCGGGAGATCTTGGACAGAGGGCCGGGGTAAATTAGAACCGACGTGCTCTGATTCGGGTTTGGACGCTTGTCAGGACTCTTACTAACTGCTCGTGCAGACGTGAGACACATCTGTTGGAGCGCCTCTGTTGTTGGAGAGGCTGAGTCCCTGCGCCGTGTTGAGGAATGTGGGCTCTGGGCCTCCTCATTGCCTCCCCCAGCCTTCATGGAGTCCTCCCCCTCCCCAGGGAAGCTCCAGCTTCCTAGGCCTCTTCCCTTGCCTGGTCTGTCCTCAGGCTGGCTCCAGGGTGTCTGTCTTTCTGGAGTACGTGCTCTCTTGCTACATACCTGACACCTAGAGTCTGATTTTGCTCTTGTCTCCTGACTGGCCCCTCTTCCACGTGTATATGATCAGGCATCTGCGCAATGTCACCCCAGGAGCTTTTGGGTTTAGACCAATATTTCGATAAATCACACTCCCTACAGAAGCACGCGCGCAGGGGCCCCCGGGCATTGACTCCCCCAGGCCTTCTGACTAGTCTATATTTTGCCATCGCCTTGCTTACAGCTAATGCTAATACTTAATATTTTTTGAACATTACCATGCACTAAGCCCTTTACATGCATCAACTCTAATGCTTTCAACAACTCTGTGAGGTAGGCCCTTTTCTTTCCCCCATTTTGAAGGTAAAAAACTAAGGCCCAGAGAAGTTGAATAACTTGCTAGAGATCCCATAGCTGGTAGGTGGTAGAGCTGGGATACAAACTGTTTGACTCGAGTTTAACCACTGCCGAGGCCTGCCTCCTTGCTCCCCAGTAGAGGCCTGGGCAACCCAGGCATCCTTGGCCCTAGGAGGTCTGCATAGGGAAGAACTTTCTGGATCGAGAAAAAACAAACAATTAAAAAAGAAAACCCTCAGAGGCTCCACATCAGTTGGAATATGGGGGATACTTAGGAATGGTTGTTGAATTAAATCAAACCAGACCCAGGCCTGGGGACTCCAGGGCGATTAGAGCAAGCCCCCTAAATCTGTAGTGGAAGGTGCAAAGAGCTGGGATAATTCCTGGAGAGTATTTTAACTTTTTTAACCTAACGTCTTAGTAAAAAGTTTTCCTAAAAATTCCAAAAACTTGGAAGTGCTCAAGATCAAGTCCTTTTCTCTACCTTCAATAATTCTATCCCGTAAACAGACAGGGTGCTAGGTGCTCCCTGGGGTATAAAGACTGAAGAGTCCTTGTTCTAGATTGGGGGAGATTAAACAGTCAGACGCCACGGGTGAAACTTGACTGGATCCTGGAACGGGAACAATAAAAGCAAAACTACAAAGGCTATTTTTAGAAGTTTATAAGGGACATGTGGAGAAATTTGAGTATGCAATGCTGTTGGATGAGTGTATGTGATTGATGTCGATTTTCTTAGTCATGGTGATGGAATTATGATTGTGTAAGAGAATGTCCCAGTTCTTGGGAGATGGATGCTTAAGTTTTAGGGGAAAATGTCATGATATCTGTAATCTACTTTAGGATGATATAGTAGCAAAGATTTTTGTAGCTGTGTGTGTGTTTATCTATACGCATTTGTATGTATGTATGCATGTGTTAGAGAGAGAAAGAGAGCACACAGACAGGGCAAGATGTTAACATTATCACTTGGTGAATTTATGTGAGGGCTGTGTGGTATACAGATGTTGCTTGTAATGTTTTTTCAACTTTTATGCAAGTTTTAAAACTTTAGAAATAAGAAAATAAATTGTACTTAATTAAAAAAGATGTTAAGTAAGATTATGTCACTCTTCCCCTTGAAACTCTCTAATGGTGCCTTATTTCACTCCAAACAAAAGCCTGTGTCCTTGCACAGCCTACAAGGCTCTTCCTGACCCATCCTTGACCGACCAACCCTCTCATCCTCTCTCCTCTTGCTCAGTTTAGTCCCGTCACTCTGGCTTTCTGTTTCTGAAATATGTTACCCCTCATTCCTGCTTCAGGGTCTGCTTTTTTGCATCACAGCAAGTATAATTATAGAACATTCCATTATATGTCTATTTGCTTGTGGGCTGTCTCCTTCCCCACCCCCAGTGGAATGTAAGGTCAGTGAGAATGAGGACTTGGTTTGCTCTCCTCCCTGCTGGGCCTCCACACCTAGGACGGTACCAGGTACAGAGTGGACACTCAGTAAATGCTGCTGAATGGTGAAAAAACTCAAAACCTTGGATCCTGACTCCCAAGGACTCCCTGTCTAGAAGAAGATTTCCATGCAAATAACAGTCGTACCAAAACAGAAGTCTAGACAAAGTGTTATGAGGCTTCAAAGAAAGGAGAGGCAGCCCTGGCCCAGGGAATCAGGAGGGCTTTGAGCTACCTCTCAAAAGATGGGGAGAATCTGGGGTGGCAGAGCGGAGATGAGAGCAGCATAAGCTGAGCATAGAGTGGTCATGCGTGGGCTGGGCAGAGGCATGACAAGGAGTCCTGGCTGGCTGGTGTGCCAGGGTAATGCAGGGCAGCCTGTGACAGGAGGTTGGGCTCTCAGGAGAGGACTCAATGCCAGGTTGAGGTGTTGGGCTTAACTGATCAGAGAGGAGGGGATGTCTGGTACCTGTCTAATAGCTAACGCAGTGGCAGCCTGCTGTAGGCAATTGTGAGCTGAGAGAATGGGAAGCTCCAGGAGCAAAATATTGAGGCCAGTTTTTATATTGGTTCCTCCCACCTCACTGCCTGGGTAGCAGGTCTCTGCTTAGAGTTAATCCTGCTCTCCCCTCAATCTCCTATTCATGCTTACTGCCCAGCCTCAAGCCTACACTTCACACCGAAAGAGACCCAGGAGATGCCTCCCTTCCATCTCCTCAGGTCCACTTGTGCTTCTCCCTATGAGTGCCCTTGCTCCTTTTACGTGGCAGGATCGGGGTGCGAGTCTGCCTGCTGAGAGGTCTTTCTCCTCATCGTTCTACTCCCCATCCCCCTACTCACAACCTAGGCACGGAAATTCCTCCTGGGGCTGAAGAACAACTTGCCTGCTAGTGTCTTGGACAAAAACTGGCCCATGGCCCCTTACAGGTGCTTCACCCGCGCCAATCAGGAGCTGCAGCAGCTCTTCTACCGGTGGAAGGTGAGTGGTCCAGCAGCCCCTCCTGGGGCCAGGGTCCTCGCCTCTCCTTTGTCTTTTTGTTCTCTTCCCTCTGATTTTCCTCTTCTGCTGCCTCTTCTACCATTTTTTTTCTTTTTTATTGTGGTAAAACATACACAACAAAATTTACCATTTTAACCATTTTTAAGCATACAGTTTGGTGGCATTAAGCACATTCACACTGTTGTGCAACCATCACCACCATCCATCTCCATACTTTTTTCATCGTCCCAAATGGAAACTCCGTACACATTACGCGATAACTCCCTATTTCCCCTCCCCTAGCCCCTGGCATCTACCATCTATTTTCTGTCTCTATTAATTTCACTCTTCTAGGTACCTCATCTAAGTGGAATCATACAATATTTGTCTTTGTGTGTCTGGCTGATTTCACTTAGCACGGAGTTCTTTTATTCAGGAAAGACTTATTGAGTACCTGTCTGGGACTAGGCCTCGTGCTGTGTGCTGGGCAGAGTTCTCAGGGGGCTTGTGTTTGATTGTTTCAGTCTCCCTTCCCCAGCATCCTCCCTCCCCAAGCATCCCTCCTCCCCAGTGCTCCTCCAGCCCCTGCCCTCTCTGAAGTGTCTAGTGCCTATCCTTTTCCCTCTGTCTCTCTTCTTCTCCTGTCCCTACCTCTCTCCTTCTACGTCTTGCTGTTCTCTTCACCTCCCTCCCCAGCCCTGCCCTCTTCCTCCGTGGTCTTAGCCCCTGCCCCTCCCCACTCGCAGTGCAAGAAATTCCGGGATCAGCTGTCTCCGAAGCAGGTAGAGATCCTGAGGGAAAAGCTCTGTGCCAGCGAACTGTTCAAGGGCAAGAAGGCTTCATACCCCCAGAGGTGAGGGCTTTTCAGACTCTGTGTAGTCAGTTTCATCAAGAGCAAAGAGAAGATTCCCCAGGTGGGATAGAGCAGTGGTTCTCAAACTCTAGGGTGCTTCAGAATGATCTGGCAGGCTGGATAACACTCAGATAGCTGCACCCCATCCTCAGATTCAGCAGGTCTGGGGTGGGTCCCAAGAATTTGCTTTTCTCACGAGTTCCCGAGGGATGCTGAGGTTGGTCCCAGACCACGCTCTGAGAACTGCTGAGATAGAGGACGTGGTGGAGGATGGGGGAAGGGGCACCGGAGGATGAAGATGGGAATTCAGTGGGGGGGCTCCTTGCAGGGCCTTGGGGGTCAGCGGTAAGGACCTTGTCTCCACTGCATACCTCCTGTGTGTCCTCAGTGTCCCCATTCCATTCCACGGTGACTACATTGGGCTTCAAGGGAACCCCAAGATGCAGAAGCTGAAGGGCAAGGAGGAAGGGCCTGTTCTGGTGGCAGAGACTGTGAAAAAGGTCAATCGTGGCAACGGCAAGGTGAAGGCCTGCATCCTGAACTCCCACAGCCTGATCCAGAGCCTTGGGTGGCAGCTGGAAGGGTGAGGGTGACACCCGCTATTCCTCACTCTTTCCTGTTCTGTCCCTAGATTTCCTCTAGAATTCTCCTCTTGACCAAGGGGCATGTGATTCTCGCAGATGCCAAGAACTCCCAGGTCAAAACAGTCATTGGGCTGGACAGTGTGGCTGGGGTGTCAGTCACCAGCTTCAAGGATGGGCTTTTTACCTTGCATCTGAGTGAGGTATCAGAACTGGGTGGGGGCAGGGCCTCGGACTGGAGAAAGTGGTGGGCATCACGGGGCTGCAGCGGGCTGGAGGTGATGGGGACCAGACCTCGCTCTCTGTGCCTTTGATGTCTCTCAGGGTGCTCCTGAGGAGAAAAGATGAATCCCTTCTCTGCCATTTTTTCCCCTTCCTCAGATATCATCAGTGGGCTCCAAGGGGGACTTCCTGCTGGTCAGCGAGCATGTGATTGAGCTGCTGACCAGGATATACCAGGCTGTGCTGAATGCTACGCAGAGGCAGCTTCCAATCACAGTGACTGACGAGTAAGGCCATGAGCTGGGGGAGAGGGACGGGTTGGGGGCAGATGACCAAGCTGTTAGTCATTGTGACCGGGCAACTTCGTGCTGTCAGAAGTGAAGCACAGTGTCAGGACAGGGCTTGGAAGGGTTTCTTAGTCTCCCGACCCAAGTTTTCTGGGTCCCTGAGTCTTCTGACACTGGGAGGGGCCCGAGGGAGGGGGGAGGGCACAGGGGAGTAGGAGGATGGACCTGCTTCAAGAAGGGGAGGGGAAGCCATCAGAAAATTACGGGACTAGGAGTGAGAGGATAAGAGCGCTAGCTTTGCCTTTCTGTCTGTTCCCTCTCCAGGTTCTCAGTGAGGTTCAAGGAGAACGATGTGGCTGTCAAGGTCATCCAGAGCCCTGGGGGTGGTGGGAACGGCAAGCTTAGCTGCAAGAAGAAGGGGAGTCATCACCTGGAAGTGGCTGTATAGTGAGGAGGTGGGGACCTCACGAGATTCAGCAGTTTCTTGCTGCAGGACCAGCACCAACCCCACCCACACACCTCTGGGGATGATCTCATGTCTAACCCTTCTGATCGTGGGGTGGGGCTCAGGGGTGGAAGAACCCTTGAAGAGGACCTTTCTTCTCCCAAACTTTTCCAGTCTTCTCTCCAAACTTAGCTTCCTCCCACCCTCCGCCTCTTTGCCTGCTAATAAAACAATTGACTTCCCAAAGGTTTGGTCAGTGTGGGTGGATCTCTGTTCCCCCATCTTCTCAAGGACTTGTGCTCAGACCCCCTTCCCTCCTCCCCTTTCCCTCCCTCAGGCTCCTTGGAGCCAGCTAATACAGATAATAAGAATGGAAAAGAAGGGAAATTGTCTCGGGCTCCTTGACCGGCTGAGCTCTGGCAGGGGTTTGGAGAGACTGGGGTGGGGATGGGGCTCAGGTCGCAGGTGGCCAATGGGCTGATTCATTAAGTGTGTCCCTGGAGGGAAGAAGTGAGGATCCGTGTCTTGGCATAGACTGGGATCCTTTGGAGATATTTAGCCTGAAAGAGGCCCGAGGCTGGAGGGCTCATGTGGGCCGAGGTAAGCTGGGGAATGCAGGGTCTCCGCACCCAGGAGCCCCACTGCCCCCACCGGCCCCAAGTTCAGCACTGGGCTTTGTCACACCTGCCTGCCGGCACCCACTTTTCCATACACCTGAGATGCCGGGCTGCTGCCAACAGTTATCTTGCTAATTGCTGTCCCGCAGCTGGGGCCTGCAGCTGGTGGCACTTGACAAGGGAGGCTCCCCACCCCAGGATCTCCCCCATCCCTATGACTGACTCCTTTCCTCATGCCTTCGTTTATTTTCCCTGTGTCATCGTCATTATTTTTTTCTCGGTTTCCAACTGCTGATGCTATCTCATTGTCCCCGTTTCTGTGCGCTCTGACTAATATCAATACGGAATAGTTTGTTTAATGCCTTAAATACCCACCCTCATGTCTGTTTCCTCAGAGACCGTCTTGTCTCAGTCTCTTCTGCCCGGTCTCTACCTTCAGGGAACAAGCAGCTCCTCTGTCTGCAGTAAACTTTAGATCTGTGCTCAGGGAGAGCCTACAAATGGCTGCCTTTGTTTCTGTCTCTGGATGTCTCTCCCACCCCTCACTGTCTCTGCCTTCCCTGCCTCTTCCCTATCTCCATGCTGAGCTCGCTGTGCCTTCAGCTGGGGTCTCCCTCCACCCCAGCTCCCATCAGCAGGCAGCTCACGGCCCAGGTGATCGTGCAGGCAGGAGACCTGATTAACTTCTCTTCTTGCCTGCAGATTAATCTTGCTCTTTGAGCACCAGCCCCGTGTTCTGGCACACCCTGCTCTGAGCTGAGATGGGATCCAGGGAGTCAGCTCTTCCCAGGCGGGTGAGGGGCTAGCACTGTCCTGGGGGGGCCGTGTCCTGAGTGGGGGTAGCTGAGGCTCTGGCCAGCCTTCCGCCACCCCCGACAGCGCCCCCCCCCACCCCCCCCATCCTTGACTTCTCAGAACCAGGCCTGTCTGGCTGAGGGCAGTGGTGACCGGGGCCTGACCGCCCCCGCTCTCCCTCTCATCTCCTGCTCCCAGGGCCCAGATTGTCGTCACTTTCCCACTGAAGTGTCTGGTCATTTTCAGAAGCAATTTCAGGAGAATATGCAGCTGCTGCTCCCTCTCCTGCTTTTCCTTTCCCTGGGGCTGAAGGCACTGTCAGTGCTCTGGGTGGGGGATGGTGGAGGGGGGGAAGGGCCTGGCTTGCTGGTCTCCCTCCTGTCCTCTCGCCATCCGTCATGTGGATGGATGCTAGTTTGAGGACGGGTGGGGTTCCTCCGCTTCTTTTCTCTCCCATCTATCCCTTCCTCCTCCTCTTTCCTGTCTCTGCCTCTCTTCTCTTCTGGAGTCCAGGATTGTTGTGTTTTCATCCCCCGGAAGCCTCTAGGGGCTCAGTGTCCCCACTTGTGTTATAGGCTTGAACTGGCTCCATCACAATGGGAGAAGCTGGAATTCTCCTGCCCCTCCCGTCCCCTGCGCCAATCCAGCATTCTCAAAGTCTAGGTTATTTCAGCCTCTGAGGGGCTCAAGCCATCCTGGAGTCCCCTAACCTCCATGAGGAGCCATTCTAGCCTCTCACAGTTCTAAACAGTCTAGCTCAGTCCTGGCTCTGAGGGGCTCTTCTGGTTCCTTGTTCTGTGGATTGTCCCCCAGCTGTCTCCTGGCTGCAGGCCTGCATCTGCCATCTTTCCATTCTTCACTGGTCTCTCCACCCAGTGTCCCATATGGCCCTGGCCCCTCCCTCCCTACCCCACAGCACCCCTACAGGATGTCGAAGGAGTCCACGTGTTACACACAAGTTGTGCACGTGGTGGACATGGCAGGTGATCTCGTGTGCTCAAGTGTGTTCTGGGTCAGCCTCCACCTCTGCTCCCTGGGAACACCTGACTAACCCACCTCAGCTCAGCTCAACTGTGCACACCTTCTCCTGGCCTCACCCCCAACCCGCCCTAACAACGAAGAGGGGAGCTCTGAAGAAGGATCTGCAAGAGACCCTGCTCCTCTGGGCCGGTGACAGCATCTGAGATGGGCTCAAATAACAATGTTCAAAGCAGAAAACACCTAGGGCTCTGTGGCTGCAACCCCACTTTCCATGTCATTTGCATATGATTTGTGGGCACAATGAAGCTGGCCTGCCCTGGCCTGCGGAGCCTCCCTCCTTATCCCCTCTCGGACTTAGTTTAGCAGCAGCTCTTCCAAGTCTTTGCTAGTCCCAGAGATCAAGGGGCGGTCAGCTTTCCCTGCCATTCCCTTGCTCCCCCGATCCTTGGCTCCTGCCATCCTCTGTGAGATGCCACATCATCAAAGGACATTATTCATGTGGACCTTTGCTGAAGCCCTGCATCCCTGGTGCCAGGGCTGGGGGGCAGGTGTGGGTGGGTTGGTGGAGGGAGGGAGGCTGACGCAGAGATGGGACCCAGGAGGCTTTAGTCTTCAATGCTACCTACTGTGTTCCTCCTGCAGCGCCCCCCAACTCCCTCCAGCCTGCCTAACTTGTTAGGACCGCCTCCAGATTGGGGGGGGGAGGAGGAGAGGTGGGAGATGGCTAGGTCCAGTTAGGACTGGCACCTGAACTTCTCAAAGGCGTGAACCAGTTACGCCATTCGCATATAAACAGCCTCCCACTTCTACCCCTCATCCCACCAAAGGCTCCCAATCCTGGGTCCTGGCCTGTGGTTAGCCCACACAGCTCTGTAATTAGCTGGGTAGTGGGAAGCTTTTAATGAGGCCGCATTAGTCTCTCACATAATAAAGGGGCCTTGAGACTCAGCTGCTGCCCTCATTCTGGTGAATCTGGGGCCATGTGCAGTCAGAGTGACTTCTCTCAGTGTGGCCTGAGTCCCAGGGTAGGTGGGTGTCAGGAGCGTGGAGTGGGAGACACATATTTCAGGACCCGAGGAGCACCTGAGAGCCCTATGAAGCAACCACACTGTGGGTTGTGATGCAGGACACTGGGCCCAGGCTCCCTTTTGTTTTGTAATAAACTTTTATCGGGCACTTACTATATGCCAAATGCCATAGAGCTGGGGACCCACTAGTGGTCCCTACCTGTCCTTGCCCTGTGACGCTGATATTCGGGGGTCGGGGGGCAGGGTAGACAGACTATAAGGAAAATATTTGGTACATTGGATGTAATAAGTGCATGAAGAAAAGAAATAGGCAGGAACTATGGAGTAGGGGGTGGTAGTAATTTTAAGTAGATTGGGGAAATTGTTGGTGAGCAGGAGTCTTCCTAGTCAACAAACAAGAGAGCCACGGTTCTTCCCCAACCCCAAGATGGAGAGGAGTACAAGGTCCCAGAAATCCAGGTCTCCTGGAGAGGTGGACTACCGCTCGCTCTGTGAGCGTTAACGGTGCCCTTACTGGTCAAGGTTCACACTGGGGCAGTCGAACGGGGGGATTGTTTGGAGTGAGAAAAACCTGAATTTGAGGCTGTTCTTCAGGAGCTATATGTCCTGAAGCAGCTGATTCAACTTTTTGAGCCTAAGTTTCCTCATCTGAAAAGTGGGACTATTTCCTCTTCACGTGGCGGTAGTGATGAAAATCAAATGGATTGCTCTATGCCCAAGCACCTTGTTCAAACCCTGCCTCCATTCTAAACGTTGGAGGTGCCTAATCTCTATGAAGCCGGCTTCCCCTTGGCTCACCCCTCCCCTTCCAGCAGCATCTTTTCTGTCTGGTTCTCCTTTCCATCCTGCCTCTGCCTCTCCCCTGGTGCTCTCTACCTTCAGTGTGAAGTGAACAGAATAAGCCCCCTCAGTAGTGTGGGGCATGAACAAGAGGCTTGAAAGGTCAGGGGAGGAGATGCCTGAGCTGCAGGGAGAGAGATTACAGTGGGGGAAAATGTAGCTGTGAGGAGAAAAAGAAGCAATTAAGACATCAATACTAGGGCGGGGCGAGGAGGGGAACAGCTCAGTTCCTCCCTTTGGAGATTCGGCAGGAGGGAGAGAAGTTAGAACTCTGGAAGGATGCAACTAAATCAGGCCAATTCAGGGGTCAAGGGGAGTGCGTGGGGAGGCCAGGTGGAGAGGCATTAGCACCGGAGAGGTTCCTGTATTCAACAGCAGGGCAGAAGTACTGAGGACCAACGTGATGGGTCGGCTCCGGCTAGGAGGAGGACAGAGGGAGAAAGGAGGATGGGAAGGGATGCCAGGCTCACCTCCCAATCCTTAGGGGCCTGAGCGTGGTCTCCTGGAGGTGGGAGGGCCAGAGAAATACCTCCCTGAAGTTATTTGGCCTGGCAGTTGAGTCTGGAGGTTTAAAGGGCAAGAAACTGAGGATGAATGAGGAGGAGAAAGAGGCCCAGAGACCGCAGCTATGGAGCTAGATCGGTGTGGAAATTTCATGAAAAACCATATACGACATCATTCCTTAGCATGCCCAGCTTAGGGGCTGCTGGAAAGTGGGCTGCTGGATAATTCCAGCTCATTGCTGGGTTTGTAGGGTGCGTGCGTGTGCGCACAGGTGTGTCTGTGTGTGCGTGTCTGTGTGTGGCTGCAGCCTATATCCTCCTTTCTCCCACCAGCCTCCCCCCTCCCCTCCGGCCACCCTGGGATTGGTGATTTTCAGCCCCTCCCCCGGCTCCCCCAGACCCTCCCAGAGCCTTTATCAGGGAGCTGGGCCAGAGTTCCTGCCACATTTCCAGATCCCCTCTACTCCCTGTTTCTCTCTTCACGGCAGCACCAGCACCACCAGT